GCTCCAGACCTTTCTCAGTAGTTATGTAATACAGAGTATATGTAGTATAAAGAATTATGTAACAAAGTATATAGCTTCCTTTCTAAAATTGAAAAAATTCTGAATTGCAAAATTGGTCCCAAGTTTGGAAAAAAGATTATGGATGTATCTGTAAGTGCTATGCAGAGAATTCAAATGTGCAATATGATACTTACTAGGTGAGTGCAGCTTGAGTGGTCAAGCAGGAATCTTCTGAAGAGATGACATTTAAATTTAATTCTTTTTGTTGTTGTTGTTGTTGTTTTATTGAGACAGGTTCTCACTATGTAGTTTTGCCTGGCCTTGAACTCACTATGTTGCCCAGGCTGGGCTTGAACTTGCATTGATCCTCCTGCCTCAGCCTCTTCAGTGCTGGGATTACAGGCCTGTGGCACTATGCTCAGTTTAAACAATTCTGAATGACCAATAAAACAAAACAAAACAAAAAAGGTAGTCATGCAAAGATCATGGAGACATCATTCTAAGCAGAGGTAACAGTTAATGCAAAGATGAACACAAAAGAGGCCACTGTGACTACAGCATATTGGGCCAGTGAAAAGTGCTACCAATTGATGGGAGCATTTCAGGCAGATAGAAAGATTGTGAGCCTGGTGCTAAGTCCTTTGATGAATATAGTGTAATGAAAATGAGTGTGATGGTTGTCAACAACTAGAAAGTCCAGAGGTAAGTCTTCCTGGGTGGGAAAGCAGATGGGAAGTATGCTTCAGACAGAGAAAACAGAACAGTTATGAGACTGAAAATGTAGGCTAAGATTTGTGGCCTGAAGACCTTGATTTGAGGAAAAGTATAGAGGGAAGACAAATTCAATGTTTGGGCTCAAAATTTTAATTGAAGCATGGTGTGGTGGCACCTACTTGTAATTCCAACACTCTGGGAGTTGAGAGGCAGGAGGATCAAAAGTTTGAGCCCAGCCTGGGTAATTTAGTGGCCTATAGAGGCCCTGTCTCAAAATAAAAATTTTTTTAAAAGGGCTGGGGATGTAGCTCAGTGCAAAGGCCCTAGGCTCAATCCCTAGTACACACCCACACATTTAAAAAGATTCTGAGGGTGAGGATTGGAAGATGTCTTAGGATGACCGAAGACCTAGGTTTTTAAAATAAGTCGTTGAGCTGGGCGTGGTGGTGCATGCCTGTAATCCCAGCACTGGTGAGACTGAGGAAGGAGGATTACTGCAAGTGGAAGGCCACCCTGGGCTACACAGTGAGTTCAAAGCTAGCCTGGACTACATAGTGAGACCCCAAGAGAAAAGAAAGAAAGAAAGATCTCTTAAATAAATAACTACATAAGTCCAATCTACAGTGTGTGATCTGGGCTTTTGGATTTAAAACACATTGCACAGACAGAGGAAAGTAGTAAAGTCTGAACTGATAAAAGATGTTTTTGGGCCGGGGATTTACCTCAGTGGTGCTGCTGCCTGCCCTGCAAGCTCAAGGACCAGAGTTCTATCCCTGGTACCAAAAAAAAAAAA